TTATTCTTTAACACTTCTATTAATTTTTTTTTTACTTTTGTTATATTTTTAATTTTCAAGTGTTCTTTTTGTTTGTTCTCTGAATGTTCTTCCTCTTATTTTTTTTTTTAAATATAGCTTCCTATTTTTGTGTTTTAAGTTATTTCTCTTACCAATCTGAGACTATTAATACAATTTTTATGGAAGTTCTCTTCTCCTTGCACAGTCTTAGTTTTCTCCAAGTTGATTTTTTCCTTTTTGCTAGTTTTGACCTTTCCCTTTTATAACAGAGATTTTCCTCAGAGGTGATCCTTGGATGTCTGCTCACTTAAGCATCATTGTTGTTGTTAGTTGTCATCGAGGAGTCGATTCCAACTCATGGTAACTTCATCTGTGAAGAATAGAACTGCTCCACGAGATTTTCAAGGTTGTAACCTTTCAGAAGCAGATTGCCAGGCCTGTCTTCCAAGACACCTCTGGATGGGCTCAAACTGTCAATTTTTTGGATAGTAGTCAAGCACTTAGCCATTTGTGCCACCCAGGTACTCCTACTTAAGAGTAGTGAGACTGAAATCTTGATTAAATCTATGAAAGTGTGGATGGGTTTTCTGATCTATTTTGCTATAGGATGCTCTGGTTGGACTACTTCTTTGGAGAACTCCAGCATCTTTTCGTCTTTCTTCTTGTTGTTAAGTGCCATAGAGCTGTCTCTGACTCATAGCGACCTTATGGACAACAGAATGAAACACTGCCCAGTCCTGTGCTAGCCTCATTATCCCTACCATACCTGAGCCCATTGCTGCAGCCACTGTGTCTATCCATCTCATTGAGGGTCTTCCCCTCTTTTGTTGGCCCTCCACTTTATGAAGGATGACATTCTTCTCCAGAGAATGGTCCCTTCTGACAACATGACCAAAGTAGGTGAGATGAAGTCTGGCCATTCTTGCTTCCAAGGAGCATTTCAGCTGCACTTCTTCCAGGACAGATTTGTTAGTCCTTTTAGCAGTCCACAGTACTTTCAACATTATTCACCAACACCACAACTCAAAACCATCAACTCTTCTTCTGTCTTCCCTAATCATTGCCCAGCTCTCACATGCATCTGAGGTGATTGAAAATACCATGGCTTGGGTTAGGCACATCCTAGTCTTTAAGGAGGTATCTTTGCTCTTCAGCACTTGAAAGAGGTCTTCTACAACTGATTTGCCCAATGCAATACATCTTCTGATGTCTTGACTGCTTCTTCCATTGGCATTGATTATAGAACCAAGTAATACGAAGTCTTTCACGTCAATCTTTTCTCCATCTATTGTGATGCTGCTTACTGGTCCAGTTGTGAGGATTTTTATTTTCTTTATGTTGAGGTATAATCCATACTGTAGACTATAGTCTTTAATTTTCATCAGTAAGTGCTCTAAGCCATCCTCACTTTCAGCAAGCAAAGTTGTGTCATCTGCATATTGCAGGTTGTTAATAACCCTTCCTCCAATCCTGATGCCACATTCTTCATATTGTCCAGCTTCTCAGGATATTTGCTCATCATACAAGTTGAATAAGTATGGTGAAAGGATACAACCTTGATGCATTCCCTTTCTGATTTTAAACCATGCAGTATCCCCTTGTTGCATTGGAATGACAGCCACCTGGTCTATGTACAGGTTCCTCATGAGTACAATTAAGTGTTCTGGAATTCCCATTCTTCTCAAAGTTGTCCATAATTTGTTATGATCCACACAATCGAATGCCTTTGCATAGTCAATAAAACACAAGTAAACATCTTGTATTCTTAACTTTGAGCCAAGACCCATCTGACATCACCTATCCCTTGCTCCAAGTCCTCTTCTGAACCCAGCTTGCATTTCTGGAAGTTTTCTGTCAATACACTGCTGCAACTGTTTTTGAATTATCTTCAGCAAAATTTTACTTGCATGTGATATCAGTGATATTGTTCAATAATTTCCACATTCTGTGAGATTACATTTTTTTGATATGGGTACAAATATGGATCTCTTCCAGTCAATTGGCCAGGTAGCTTTCTTCCAAATCTCTTGGCATAGCCAAGTGAATGCCTCCAGCACAGCATCTATTTGTTGAGACATTTCAGTGGGTATTCCGTCAATTCCTGGAGCTTTGTTTTTCACCAATTCCTTCAGTGCATCTTGGACTTCTTCCTTCAGTACCATTGGTTCTTGATCATATGCCACCTCCTGAAATGCATGATCATCTACCAATTCTTTTTGGTATAGTGACTCTGTGTATGCCATCCATCTTCTTTTGATGTTTCCTACATCATTCAACATATTGCCCATGGAATCTTTCAATATTGCAATTCAAGGTTTAATTTTTTCCTCAGTTCTTTCAGCTTGAGAAATGCTGAGTGTATTCTTCCTTTTTGGTTTTCTAACTCCAACTCTTGGCACATTTCATTATAATATTTGACTTTGTCTTCTAGAGTTGCTCTTTGAAATCTTCTGTTCAGCTCTTTTATCCTGTTGATTCTCCCATTTGCTTTAGCTACTCTCCGTTCTAGGGCAGGTTTCAGAGTCTCCTCTGACATTCATTTTGGTCTTTTCTTCCTTTCCTGTCTTTTTAATGACCTTTTGTTTTCTTCATGGATGATGTTGTTGATGTCACCCCACAATTCTTCTGGTTTTTGGTTATTGGTGTTCAAGGCATCAAATCCATTCTTCGGATGATCTCTAAATTCATGAGGGATGATATCAAGGTTATATTTTGGCTCTCATGGAGTTGTTTTAATTGTGTTCAGTTTCAACTTGAATTTGCATATGACCAGTTGATGGCCTATTTCACAATCAGCTCCTGGTCTTGTTTTAGCTGAACATATTGAGCTTATCCATCCACAGATGTAGTCAATCTGATTCCTGTGTACCCAGACTGGCAAAATCCATGTGTATAGCCACCATTTGTGTTGTTGAATAAAGGTATTTGCAATGAATAAGTCATCAGTCTTGCAAAATTCTATCATGCAATCTCCAGCATCATTTCTATCATCAAGATCATATTTTCCAACTACCAGTTTTGCATTCCAATTACCAGTGATAATTAACACATCTTGAGTTGGGTCATTTTCCTGAAAGTCTTTTCCAATCTGTTGCCACGGAGGTAAAGGCTGCCTGACAGACTTCTGGAAACCAACTGGAGGTAGGCTGGGGGCTGGGAGGTCTCAGCATTCAAAACACATATGGTCACTCAATCCCCTTCAATCTCTTACCTCTGCCCTCCTCGGCATCATCCTTATACGACTGCACTGGATGGCCCAGTACAGAAACCATCATCAGAGAATAAAATACCAGCCCCCAAATAGCCACTCCATCACCATGGCCCAGGAATTGTGTCTTCTAATGTCTCACAAATATGACTATTTCTTTCTGTATTCATCATCATCACCTCAGTCCAAGCCACCATCATTTCTCAACTAGATCCTTGCAACAACTGGCTAAGTCTTCTCCTACCTACTCTTTCTGTGCCTACTCTTTTCTGAGCTAGGGTGGCTGATTTATGTCATTTCTATGCTTATCCCCCCATGTCTCCATAACTTCTCATGCCCTCAGGACACAGCTACTTATCTGGCACTCAAGTTCTTCATGTTCTGACTTCTTTCCTCTTAGCCCTGCCCTTACTCCATAGTCTGTACCTTCATGAGCCCCATACACCTCTGGGCCACAGATCTTCCTGCTTCATCTTATTCTCTCCATTTAAGACTCAAATCAATTATCACCTCCTCCTGAAAGTCCTTCAGGCTCCTAGACTTCTCTTAGTTGGTCCTAGCACTTATCCCACCACTGGAGACTGGCAGCTCCCCTTTGGGACCCCAAGGGAAAGCCTGTGTTTTCATCTTGACACTCTAAGTGCTGAGCTTGAGCCCAGCACAGAGCACTAAGAGCTTCTGAGCTGCACTGAGCTACATATAGAGGTCATTGTCACATGGAATTTGAGAGAGTTTTGTTCTGGGAGCTGACTGCTGGACCACTGACTCCATTAAGCCTGCCTACCATGTCAGCAAACATGGAGCATCCCTCCTCTCCCAAGACATACCACAGTACATGCTGGTGATGGACATAGATGGAGGAACTACCCCTACTAAGGGTTCCAAATGCAGAGTGTGCCCTCCAAGCCACTCCTGAGGGAGTCCAGTGCAGGCTGTGTCCAAGGGAGGAGACAGCTCATCTAGCTGCCTTAACCTAAATAATATGCCATTATTTGAAAGTCAATTCGTATAATAGCACTATGGAGCATGGCTTGGAGGAGGTGCCCTCCCTGAGCAAGGTTTCTGGCAATGAAGGATGTGAGTAGTAATGGGGCCAGGCTGCTAGGGTAGCCAGAGTGGGGCCACGAACCCCCATTCTCTGAGTGCCTATTAGGAGTATTCCTTAGCTCAGCATGAGAAAGGTATTTGTATTTCCAGGTATAGATGGGAAAGTGGCACTCTTGCTGAATGCCACATGCCTAAGGCATTTGACTGCTAACCAGAAGGCTGGTGCTTCAACCCACCAGCCACTCCTTGGAAGGAAGGTTGGGCAATCTACTTCTGTAGTGATACTGCCTCAGAAACCCAAGGAGGGGTCAATATGAGTTGGATCCAACTCGATGGCAGTGAGTGAGGTCCAGGTCCAGGACTCTCCAGCCCCAGCTGCATCAGGCAGCCTCCCTTCCACCAGGAGAAACAGTGAGTCATTCTGGCTCTGCCACTAACTTTGCTGTGTGATTTTGGGACACTCTTTAGCTTCTCTGTCCTGACCCATGCGTGGCTCCTGCAAGTCAGTGGAGCAGGTGCTTTCCCAAGCAGGGTTTGTAGTGTTTGATGTTGAACTGGGGGGATAATGCAGATGCTCCCTTCTCCTCAGAGCTAATGGATTCCAGAAACCTCAGCACTGGTGGTGGTGGTGAGAGGTGCTCTGCCTGGCCCCTACTGTGGGCCTCTAGGAGGGTGGGGTGGGGTGGGGTGGCTTGGGTATCACTCAGCAGCCTTTCCTTTTGTTCAGTTTCTGATTTTTTTCTAGTAACTGGTGCCCTTATCAGAAGTCCAGGCTGGTCACTTTTGTAGCTGCTTGCAAAACAGAGAAATTTCTCATCCACTCACAGCAGCCGTGTCCACAGGGGGCTTCCAACTGCCAGAAAGTCAAAGTCATGTGAGTAGGGAGTGCGGGACATTCTTCTGGTCACCTCAGCTTGCTTCCCCCACCAGTAGATGAGCCAGCTCTCCCCACTCCCCATCAGGTACCGAATGGCCTCCAAGCCGGTTTACCAGGTCAAGCAGAAGGTGCTGGCCTCTGTGGCCTGGAGATGCTGCCCAGGCTACATGGGCCCCAACTGCCTGGACAATGGTAGGGTTCTCATAGCCCATTCCACCCCACCCCACCCCAACTTGCCCTGCCACAGACACCTATTCTCCAGAGCTACCCCCTCCCACCTCAACCTCTGACCTCAGACTTCAGAGGCTATGTAGAGCCTCAGCTCCACAGGTCAGTGTTCCAAGCGACCCCATCCCCACCCCAGCCCTGCTCTCTGCAGATCCCGCGGCACCCCCTGAGCCTGCAGATCCAAGTGATGGTCAGAAGGAACCTTGGCAAGGGCCAGTCAGCTCTGGACATGGTGTGTTGCTTTCCTGGGAAGGTGGGTCAGTCCCCTTGCAGTTCCTGGTCTGGCTGTGCAGGAGAGGTGGTGAGGCAGAGCCCCAATGCCTGAGCTCTTTTGCCTCTGATGGGGCAGATTCATTTCAGGAAAACCATCCCCTTGGAATCAGTAGAGGCTCACTCCTGGCTCTCACTGCTCTGTCCAACCCCACCCCCTTCCACCATCCAGAGCCCAGGCTCACTACTCTGGCCTGCAGAGTACATACGTCCTTTGCCTAGGAGGACAGCTTCATCTGGCACCTTCCTTGCCGCCTGAACCACACAAGCCTTCCCACTTCCCACTTCCCAAAGCAGGAAGTTATGCTATTCTCAGCCTTGGGGTCAGCACAGATGAAACCACTAAGAGACAGCATTTGTAGGGTTTCTCAAGGTTGGGACCAAGGTTGGGATGGTATATAAGTTCACCATATGATCAACTCCTATTGCTGCAAAGGCTGCTTAGAACTGTATGTTTTGAGGCCATGTCTATATGGTCGAGGAGGACTAAGTATGATTGATATGTCTTCTCTGTGTGTGGGAGGCATCATCAGGATTCCATTGCCATTTATTTGTCCTTCCTGGGCTAAAGGCCCAATATAGACTCCTGCTCACAGGGTGTCAGTGCACCTCCCTGCTCCCAAGCCCCAAATCTTCTCTGTCCCTTGTGATCTGACCAGGTCTGGTTGATAAGCCATTGGCACTGACCTCTGACATGTATTCAGGCCACCCAGTTGCAGAGACCAGTAAGGTGGCAATGGAGCAGGAACACCAGCTGGGAGATCTCCAGAATGACCTTCACCAGGTGGTCAGTGGCCTCCCAGGTCTATGGACAGCCCTAGCAAGTAACCTCACAGTGGCCATAACTGAAGCAAATCAAACTGAGCTTGGTGAGTGCCTGGTCACATCAAAGATGATAAGTGGAGGGGAGGTAGGAATTCCCCAAAGCTCAGAGGGTCCCTCTGACCCCTGCAGGCCACTTGGGAAAGGGTGTCCATTCCTATAGCATGTTTATAAACATGTACCTGTTGCCTGCAGAGTTGCCTGGCAGATCTCTGGAGCAAGTGCTGCTGCCCCATGTGAATGCCTTTCTGCAAGTGCATTTCAGCCCCATCTGGAGGGGCTTCAATGAAAGCCTGCACAGCCTTTCCCAAGCCATAAGAAACCTGTCTCTTGACGTGGAGGCCAATCGCCAGGCCATCCAGAAAGTCCAGGAGAATGCTGTAGCTGGAGCTGACTTCCAGGAGCTTGTTGCCAAATTTGAGAGCAAGGTGCAGGATAATGCCCAAAAAGTGGGCCAGCTGAGACAGGACATGGAGGGCCATCTGCATGCTCAGCACCTCTCCCTGCACCATTCCCTTGAGGAGGTCCAGATCAATGTAGACACCAAGTTGAAACAGCTTCACAAGGCCCAGGAGCTCCTGAGGGCCAACGGTAGCCTGGTGGTAATGGCTGAAGTAGGGGTAGGGGTAAGGCCAGAGCCAGAGAGTCTGCAGGCCAGGCTAGGACAGCTGCAGAGGAACCTCTCCGCCCTGCATATGGTCATAGGCCTCAGGGAAGAGGAGGTGCAGAGTGCCTTAATGGACATCAGGACAACCCTGGCTCGGCACATGGACGAGATCAAGGAGTTGTACTCAGAATCAGACGAGACCTTCGATCAGATCAGCAAGGTGGAGCGGCAGGTGGAGGAGCTGCAAGTGAATCACACAGCACTGCGTGAGCTCCGGGTGATCCTGATGGAGAAGTCGCTGATCATGGAGGAGAACAAGGAAGAGATAGAGCGGCACCTCTTAGAGCTCAACCTCACCCTTCAGCACCTGCAAAGTGCCCATGCCGATCTGATCAAGTATGTTAAGGACTGCAATTGCCAGAAGCTCTACTTGGACCTGGACGTCATACGGGAGGGCCAGCGTGACACCACTCGGGCCCTGGAGGAGACCCAGGTGAGCCTGGAAGAGCGGCGCCAACTCGACGGCCCCGCGGTGCGCGCCCTGAGGGCCGCCATGGAGGACCTCTCGCTGGCTGTGGACGCACAGCGGGCCGAGGGCGAGCGGGCGCGGGCCGACAATGCCCGGTTGCGCAGCCAGCTGCAAGCGCTGCTTCGCGAGGTGGCCGCGGTGCAAGCCGCAGAAGAGCTGATAGGTCGCAACCTCCGCCAGCTCAACAGCTCATTTGGGGCGCTGCTGGAGGATGCGCTGCGGCACGAGGCGGTGCTGGTCGCCCTCTTTGGGGAGGAGATGATGGAGGAGATGTCAGAGGAGGCGTTCGGCCCGCTGCCCCTGAGCTACGAGCAGATCCGGCTGGGTTTGCAGGAGGCCGCAAGTGGGCTGCGCGATCAGGCACTCGGTTGGGCCGCCCTAGCCACCCGAGTGCGTGTCCTGGAACGGGTGGCGGGCAGCTGGCAGGACCGGGTGGGGCAGGAGCCTAGCCCCGAGAAGCCTCACGAGGAGGGACCTAACCCCAGCCCCAGGGACCTGGCTGTCCTGAAGGGGGCTCTCCAGCGCTTGGACGCCCAGGTCCAGCGGGCCGCACGGTGCTGCGAGGCCTCCTGGGCAGCCGCCCTCAACAGCTCGCTCGAAGGCCTTCAGGGTACCATCTCCATTACCCAGCAAGGCTTGGAGAGGCACCAGCTGCTATTCCACAGTCTCTTTGGAAACTTCCAAGGGCTCCTGGCAGCCAACATCAGCATAGACCTGGGGAAGCTGCAGGCCATGCTAAGCAGGAAAGGGAAGAAGCAGCAGAGAGGCCTGGAAGCTCCCCGAACCCGGGACAAGAAGCAGGCACAGTCTTGGGCAGACACCCCAGGCAAAGGCCGTGTCCTGGCAGCAGAGCTGATGGAGGCAGGTGAGCTCGGGGGGAGACTGGTAAATCTAGGAGAATGGGCTATCTGGGAGCAATTCCTTGGACTTGGGGGATATGGAAGAAAGAGAACAGGATAGTGCCCTTAGTTACTATGACTCAGGCTCCCACCTCCCATTCAGGCCTGGGGGCCTCTTAAGCTATCTAGAATATGTTGCTTTCCAATCGCCCAGACTTCTATTCATGGCAACTCTATGTTCAACAGAGTGAAATGCTGTCCAGTCTCACACCAGCCTCATCAATGTCCACATGCATAAGTTCATTGTTACCTTCCCACCTAGGGGTTTCTCTCATCTTCCAGCACTATATTGAACAAAAATTCTGTTGTGATCCAGAGGGTTTTCACTAATTTTTAGAAGTAGATTAGCAGGACTTTCTTCCTAGTCTGTCTTAGTCTGGAAAGTCGGCTGAGACCTGTCCACTATGGGCGACACTGCTGGATTTTGAAATACTGGTGGCATACCTCCAGCATGACAGCAACATACAAGCCATCATAGTATGACAAACTGATAGATGGGTGGTAGACTTAGAGGATAGCATGGCAGAAGTCACTATTTGTATTCGTTCTCTGCACAAACTCTTCTCGCTGCTCTGTGCTAGGTCCTGTGCAGTGCCTTTCTTGGATTTTACCACATGGAATCACCACAGCAGCTCATGAATTATCACCACCATTTTATCTGTAATGAGACACAGAGCGGGAAATGTCTTGTTCACATAGATGTAAGCGGCACAGAGACCTGAATCTAGGTTCGCTGCCTCTTCCATTCCCTGCTGCCCTCTGAAAGGCCCTTATAATGGCTAGTCCCCATAGGTCCCTGAGGACATCTCCCTGAGTGGGCCCTAGGACAGGACCACTTGGCTCTGTAATTTGTTGACTCTTCTGCCAGAGGCTGAGGATTTGTCCTGGGAACCACTTCCTCACCCAGTTACAGGGCTGACATAAGGCTGCCATGTGGGCTATATATACACTGGTGCCACCTGGAATAGAAGTCCTTAGCCTTGCTGAAAGTCCTTCCCCACAAATATGCTCCCACTGGTCCTCATTATGGCTCAGGAGTTCTGTGTCTCCTCAAGAACAGCCTGAAGCTATGGGAAGGACACAGGCCCTAGAGTCACTGACTTACCCTGGTGTCTTCCTCTGTAAAATGGGAAAATTATTACATTATTAAAGGGTTGTAATGAAGATAAACAGATAACATTTACTATATACTAACACAGGCTTACAGCCACAATGCTTCATAGAAACAAGGATGGCAAGACTTTGGCTTGCTTACTTTGGACACGTCATCAGGACAGAGCAATCACTAGAAAAGGTCATTATGTTTGGTAAAGTAGGTCAGTAAAAATGAGGGAAACCCTCAATGAGATGACCCAATACCCACAACAATGGACACAACAATGATCATGAAGATGGTACAGGAGTGGGCAGTGTTTTGTTCTGTTATACACAAGGTGGTATGAGTCAGAGGTGACTCAGTAACAACTGACAACAACACAGGCTTCCATATCGTAGGAATCCAGTCAATGTTTCCTGTTTCCCCAGCATTTTCAGTACTGAGGCTGTGTGCCAGTCTCTCTATATTAACTCTTCCATCGTTTTTTCCTCTTGAGAGTAGTTTAAGGCCTCAATATGTCCACTTCTCTTTATTTGTCTTGCAGCAAATCTGTAGGGCTTGAATGTGTGCCCTTGCCTGGAGGGAAGCTTGTTCTCAGCTTGTCTGCTAGCAAATTAGTGAAGCACAACCCTGACAGGCTGAAGGGCATGTTGGGTTCACTGGAGAGGGTCCCAAGGAGGTCTGGACTCCAAGGTGCAGGCAGGCTGACAGGAACCAAGTGAAAGGAGATCAAATACCAGCAGAAGCCACCCTAGTCTGGCCTTCCTTATGCTGAGTTAGAGCACCACCTCCTGGATTCTGGGAGAACTGCAGTGCCAGCCACTGACAATCTTGACAATCTGACATAAATAGGAAAACTATATTGAACTCTGCAATGCTCAAAACACTTCCACAGCTACAGTGGAAGAGTATTATTATTATTATTATTATTTCATTTAAAAAAAAGTTTGTTTTTTTCATTTAAAAGTTTGTTTCTGGACAAGGAGACAAAGGGCTAGGACTCTAGTTCTGGTATCTAAGTCACTAACTGCTAGGCAAATTGTTCCTCTTTTAAGCCTTGGTTGCAACCCCTGAGAACTGGGGAGCTTGGTCATAATAATCCCCCCTGAGGGAGTATGGGAGGAGCATGACTTTGTTGGTGGAAAGGACAATGTCATAGCTGGGACCCCAGTGGGACTTTCAAACTTGCTATTCTGACCCTCTCCTCCCCTGCCTGGCTTCCTGGCTTCCTGGCTAGGTAACCTGACTAATCCATTCCTCACTCTCCACAGACATCATGCCTCCTCTGTCTCCATATTGCACAAGTGTTTTTCTCTGTCTCATCCTACCAAGGCTGTCTGAAGTGATCCTTCAAGTGTGGAAATGTAGGAAGAATACTAGCAACAAGCAGACCTATGGTTGGCTCCCAGCTTGGCTGTTAGTTGTGTGATCTGGAGCAAGCAGCATTCCTTCTCTGGGCCACATTTATCCCATTTATAATCCCAGGACTCTGTGAAACTTGTTTTGAAAACTAGGTTAAAAAACCCTGAGTTTTCTTCTCTGGTACCTTCTCCATCCTTTCTTGAAGTACCTGTGCTGAACATTCAAAAGAAGCACCTTTCACTACTTCTTACTTATCTCACTGGTCGTGGTGGTACCTCAAGATTCCTGGCAGGTAGCAGTAGCCTGGGTGTCAGATACCTGGGTTCCTGTTCCAACCTGTCATTTACAAACCATGTAGCTTTGGGCAACAACTTAAGTCCTATAGGTCTCAATTTTCTCAGTCCTTAAAGCAGGGATTCTTGTCTTTCAAGGATGTTGGAAGGAAAAGGGATCAAATGAGAAAATGCTTTGTTAAAATGTATACCAGTCTAACAGGCATATGAGTTGAACATTTACATTAGGTAGATACAGTTCTTGGAGAGATCAATCATGGGAGAATAGAAGGGCTGTGTATGCACAGGGAGACAGCTCAGGGGGCAGGAGTGCACGGGAGGGGAGGACACAGGGAAGAGGTAACTATGGGGAGGAAGTGGGAGGGGAGCTGTTGCACTGTGGGAAATTCTAGTCAATGTCATGAGACAAAGTGTATGTGAGCTGCTGTATGGAAGATGAATTTGCTCTGTAAACTTTCACCCAAATCACAATAAAATTCTTTCTTAAAAAAATGTACACCAGTCTAGACAACAGACTTGGATCTTTCCTTCTTCTAATCAATGAAATACTAAGAACTGGCCATTTAGTTTCCTCTCCCTGAGTTGCTATTGAGAATGGCTGTTACCAGTCAGTGACCTATTTGTTTTTTTCTTTTTTATTATTTTTGAAAATATCAAACTGGAAAAAAAAAAAAAAAAGCCCTACTCACTGCCATTGAGTTGTATCTGACTCATAGCAACCCCTCCTTGGGTTTCCGAGGCAGTATCACTACACAGCAAAATATACACCAATTCAACAATTTCTACATGTACAATTCAGTGACATTGATTACGGTCTTCAAGTTATGCAAACATTCCCACCCTCTTTTTCCAAACTGTTTCTCCCTCCACATAAACTCACTATCATCTAAGCCTCCCATCTAACCTTTAGGGTTGCAGTTGTCAGTTTGATCTCATATAGATAGTTCATGAAAAGAGCACAATAATCATGGCAGGCATTTTTTACTAATAAAGCTAAACTATTGTTTGGTTAAAGAAGATCTAAGGGGTATTTTTAAGGTTTAAAGATTATCTCAAGGCAATAGTTTTGAGGGTTCATCCAACTTTCATGGCTCCAGAAAGTCTGAATTCCATTAGAATTTGAAATTTCTTTTGTGTTTCTCCCCTTTTGATCAGGATTCTTCTATAGAATCTTTGACTAAAATATTCAGTAGTGGTAGCCAGGCACCATCTAGTTCTTCTGGTCAGTGACCTATTTCTAATGTTATCAAGGTGAGGAAGGGTCTCAGGGTTTAGCTTTCTATCCCAGGGAGAGAGACCCTAGTCTCTGAGCACTTTCCTTCTGCATTTCAGGTTCCCCTGTGGCCTTCTATGCCAGCCTTTCAGACGAGATGGCTGCTCTACAGACTGTGAAGTTCAACACCACTCACGTCAACATTGGCGGCAACTACTTCCCTGAACACGGCTACTTCCGAGCCCCTGAGCGTGGGGTCTACCTGTTTGCAGTTAGCATTGAATTTGGTCCAGGGCCAGGCACTGGGCAGCTGGTATTTGGAGGTCGCCATCAGACTCCAGTCTATACCACTGGGGGGCAGAGGGGTGGGAGCACAGCAACAACCTTTGCTATGGCTGAGCTGCAAAAGGGTGAGAGGGTGTGGTTTGAGTTAACTCAGGGATTGGTGACAAAAAGAAGCCCACTAGGCTCTGCATTTGGGGGCTTTCTGATCTTCAAGACTTGAACACAGAACAGCTCTGATCAGGTATCATGGACTTGCCCAGCTCCTCCTGGCCTGGGGCTCTGGCCAGGGATGTTCTGAGCTCTTCCCTGAAAACATCCTGAAGGATACTGTCGCCTCCCTGTAGACACATTGGGTTTGGGTATTTCTTAATGATAGGACTGAAATGCTTCTTTTTGGGTGGGACCTCGCATGAAGGAACTGTGAACCCTCACTTGGACTCCAGTTCTTTGTCACACCGTTGTACTACCTAGTTTCTTTGGTGTTCTGCTCTAGTGGTTGGAAACATTTGTACAACACTCTCAACCTTTCTCCCATTTCCTCTTCTTAATTTTATGCTAGAAAGTCATTCTTTCCCAGTGGAAATATGTTTAAGATAGAGAAGACATTCTGGACAATATTGTTCATTCTAATTCTGAGGGAATCCAGACTCCAGCCACCACAGAGCAGTACAATAAAATCAACTCATGGTCAGTCACCAACAGTCAGAAATGGAGACAAGGGAAATAAAATTAGTATCCATCCTGAGTTTCAGTCATTCCTTGCATTTACCTGTAATTTTAACTTAATTTCTTTTTCTCCTTGCCTCATAAAGGGTAAAAGCCTCTTAGGCCAAGACATGCCAAACATCACCCTTTTTACTTCCTTCAGTAGATTACAACCATCCTAATTCTTCTTAGCATTTCCAGCCAGAGCAGGTGTTGAGGGAAGAAGTGATGGAAGACTGTACGAATCTCCCTCAATCATGATCCATTTTGGAATAAAGTGATGTTCTTCAAATCACTCCCTGGTTTACTTTTGGAGCACCAACGTATTTCGTAAAGTAGGTAGAAATATGTGGCAAAATGAAACTATTTGGGATAAATATGTCTTTCGTTATTCCAGGCTGTTTTTGTTTTCAGTTTCAGTTCATTCTACATAAGATATTCTAAGGCCTCCTCAGTAGGCAATAATATTAATACTATACTAGATAGTGATGGCTCAGAGTTGTAATTATTCCAGCATTATTAAGACTTGGTTTTTAAAACATTAAAGATCCTGTAGCATAGTGCCTAAGGCACTTGACTGCTAACCAGAAGTCTGGCGGTTCAAACCCACCAGCCACTCCTTGGAAGGAAGGTTGGGAAATCTACTTCCATAGTGATACTGCTTTGGAAACACAAGGAGGGGTCTCTATGAGTCAGATCTGACTCCACGGCAGTGTGTTTGGTTTTTTTTGGTTTTATAGCAAATAGGCTTAAAAGAACAGTCATCTAGTAATCATAAATGTTTTTGTTTGAGGTAGTTATTCAGTAAGGAGTTCAGGTAGTGCAATGGTTGGTAACCCAAAGTTTGGTGGTTTGAACCCATCAGCAAGATGTACTGACACAATGGCTGCAATGATGGGCTCAAGTATAGCAAGGATTGTGAGGATGGTGCATGACTGGGTGGTGTTTCATTCTGTTGTACATAGGTCACTATGAGTTGGATCCAACTCGACAGCACCTAATAATAGCAACCTGCAACAAAATACATGACTGAATCTCCCACAAACTTAGTATCAAGTGTAAGTTCAAATTTTGTTTAAACAGTTCTGTAATTAGGACCCCAGATCAGCAAGAATTCTGAAGTTCATTCGATAGATTTCTTATTTCCACTAAGACATTGAATAACTCTTCATGGAAACCCTTTTTCGTGCCTTCTAAGTAAACTCTGTTACCCAAACCAATATTATAACTCCTCTGGATGTCTGGAACAAGACAGAACAAGACAGTAACTGAGCACGCACATCTGATAGAAAGCATGTATATATATCTATCTTATAAAACAATAATGGGGAGCATGGTTAATTCTTGAGAAATAGAAAGTAGAAGGGATCAAGTATCAAATCCAATAGCAATAGGAAGTCATAACACAAAATATCTGAGACTACTGGAGAGATGGAATGATTTCAAGGAAGCCCCAAACTCAAACTTGGCTCCTGAACACCTTGGGGGATAAATGGAGGAGGGAAGTCTGGCAGCAGGGCAGACAACCCACCTTTCCTTTGCCTGTGGGAAGCAGACAGTTACAGTGACCTTCATCAAGGTCTACAGTAAAGCATGTCAGTTCTGCACCCCTGCAGAGACAGGAAGCTCCTGCACCCAGACGACAAGGGTAACCTTATTAAAGTCAGCCTGCAGTCAATTCTGGTATGTGTCTCTACAAACCACAACATAATATTAAATGCATTGTAAATGTACTTTGCTTTCATCTTGGAAGCACTGTGAGGAAGACATAGTCTATAAAAAAATGTTTCTTAGAACTCTCTTTTCCTCTCATGTTTTGTAGCCCCTCTAGTATCTCTATCTTGAAAATATAAAAAATCCTCCTCCATCCAGAAAGCACCCCCCAACTTGGCTTAGTAATAGCAGAACTCTCCTAGGAGGGCAATGGAATTACCTCTTACTTTTCTCTAAAACACAGCTACTATTTCATCACTCTGAGAAAGAGAAGCTGAGACAAAAGAATAGGCAGGTGAAGAGGAATTCACTAGTAAAGATGAGCAACTATCCCCAAACTGTCAAATATTTGTGGAAAAGTAGTGACACAAGCAAGATCCAAAACTTAACAAATTAAAGATTGCGGAATTGGTACTTCTTAGAAACAATGCAGGAAAATGAACACTTGAACTTTTGCTTATTGCCACTCAGATTCAGGTTTCTAAATATCATCCCCAATACTCATCCACCAGTTTGTTGTACTGTGGTGGCTGGAGTGTTGCTGTCAGGCTGGAGGCTATGCCACCAGTATTTCAATTACCAACAGGGTCACCCATGGTGGACTGGTTTCAACAGAGTTTCCAGACTAACACAGACTTGGAAGAAGTAAGGGGCCATCCACTTCTCAAAGAATTGGCCAGTGACAACCTTATGAATAGCAGTGAAACACTGTCTGATATATTATTGGAAAACTTTATAAATAGCCCTGAAATTTTGTCTGATATAGTGCCAGAAGATGAGCCCCTCAGGTCAGAAGGCACTCAAAATATGACTGGGGAAGAGCTGCCTCCTCAAAGTAAAGACTGACGTTGGTGGAGTAAATCTTTTGGGACCTCCATTTGCTGATGTGGCATAACTCAAAATGGAAAGAAGCAGCTGCAAATATTCATTAATAATCAGAACATGGAATGTATGAAGTATGAATCCAGGAAAACTGGAAGTTGTCAAAAATGGAGTGGAACACATAAAGATCACTATCCTAAGCATTAGTGAACTGAAATGGACTGGTTTTTAGCTATTTTGAATCAATCATATGATCTACTATGCTGGGAATGACAATTGAAGAGGAATGGTGTGGCATTTATTGTTGCAAAGAACGTTTCAAGACCTATCCTGAAGTGCTCAGCAAGAAAAAGTCCATGTTCAGTGCAAGTGTGAAGATTGTGAAGTCCAATGGCAAAAAGCTGGATGAATTCCAGTCTGGCATTTCCTAGGCTCTAGAGCTGGAGATGAACTCAGATCTAAAGGCACAGATAAGGGATCTGAATGTAACTGCAGCCAAGGAAATTGAAGTTGGTGGTGGGTAGAAAGCTATTACAACCTTTGTTCCCGTTCCTCAACTGAAGTCTTTCTAGAAAATCCAAGTCCAGCTAATATGTGAACTGGAGAAAAAGTTCAGTGGAAAGCACGTTGCCTTTGTTGCTCAGAGGGTAATTCTGCCTAAACCAATTTGAAAAAGCTGTACAGAAAATAAGCAAAAGAGTACCAAGAGCCGCATTCTGACTGTACATGATGCAATCCTTGAAGATTTGGTCTTCCCAAGTGAAATCGTGGGCAAGAGAATCTGTGTGAAACTGGATGGCAGCTGGCTTCTTGTTGTTATGTGCTGTCAAGTCAGACCCGACTCATAGTGACCCCTCCTCCTTGGGTTTTCGAGGCAGTATCACTATGGAAGTAGATTGCCCCATCTTCCTTCCGAGGAGTGGCTGGTGGGTTTGAACTGCCAGCCTTCTGCTTAGCAGTCAAGTGCCGTTAGGCACTATGCTACCAGAGCTCCTGCAAGGTTCATTTGGACAAAGCACAACAGAACAATGTAGAACAAAAGGTAAAAACTTTTTCTGGTGTGTATAAGAAGCTCACAGACAAGGATGCTAATTTTGAATTCCCAGAGTTTCAGTTGTAAACAAAAATGACTAAATAAAGTATCATTCACAGTTTAAAAAAAAAAAAAAAAGATCTATCCTGAAGTACAGTGCTGTCAGTGATAGGATAATATCCATACGCGTACAAGGAAGACCAAAAACGAAACCAAACTCACTGCCATCAAGTCAGATCTGACTCATAGCGACTCCTTCTTGGGTTTCTGAGGTGGTATCTCTATGGAAGTAGATAGCCCAACCTTTCTTCTGAGGAGTGGCTGGTGGATTTGAACTGCCAGCCTACTGATTAGCAGTCAAATGTCTTAGGCACTACGTCACCAGAGCTCCTAAAGTAAATACTATTATTCAAATTTATGCACCAACCACCAAGCCAAAGATGAAGAAATTGAAGAATATACCAACTTCTGCACTCTGAAATTGACCAAAGATGATGCAACCAAGATATATTCCAGGTGATTTAAATGCAGAAATTGGAAACAAAGAAGAATCACCAGCAGTTGGAAAATATGGCCTTGGTGATAGAAATGACGCTGGGATCGCATGCTGGAAATTTTCAAGGCCAATGACTTTTTCATTGCAAATATCTTTTTTCAACAACATAAATGGCTTTGGACTTCACCTCAAGCTGCAATATTGCAAGATTCTATGGGTAAAATATTGAATGATGCAGAAACATCAACAGAATATGGAAGAAATAGAGTCATTGTACCAAAAAGAATTGGTCGATGTTCATTCATTTCAGGAGGTAGCACATGATCAAGAACTCATGGTATTGACAGAAGAAGTTGAAGGTGTACTGAAGGAATTGGTGAAAAACAAAGCTCCAGGAATTGACAGGACACCCACTGAGATGTTTCAATGAACTGATGCTGCTCTGGAGGTG